AAAAATAGAAATCTAATTAAATTTTTAAAATATTACGAATTTAATCATAGTGATTAATATAAGGGTTAGATCAAAGATGGCGTTGAAAACAATAATTAGTAATTTGTGGAAGTAATTTATTTCTTAAATTTCCTAATCTTTTCGTAACAAGATAATAATTCTCCTTAATAAATAAAGCAATATTCTGTCGAAATTTTCAGCATTTTCTTTTAGAAAATCTTTAACAAACCATAGAGATATTTAATCTTAAATTATAATCAATAAAATATTAATCTTAAATTATAATCAATAAAATAATTCATGTAATAATTTATGTAACTCATTTTTTTCATTTCAGAATTCTTACTATTCACTTTCATAGGGAATTATTTTAAATGTTGTTGATTAAAATAAAAGAATTATATATTATTATATAATTATTATATAATTATATAATTAAATATATAAATTATATAATTAAATTTTTATCCACTCAATTAAATTTGTATAGAGTTATAGTGAAATAAATAATGTATAATGTTGCAATGCATCAATATAATTAAATCTACTAAATATTACTTTACAAAATATATTTGATGCAAATTGAGATGCAATTTGAAATATATTAAACTTTCTTTATAATCATTAAAAATCATTTTATATATGAAATTTTTGTTTTATTTTGTTTTATAATTAAATTATTTTTCTAAAAATGAATTAGCATTTCTTCAATTTAGGTGAACGACCGCTGACACTAATTTTTAGCGAAAGCCGCAACATTATGAACGAAGTTTCATTAAATCCGCAATGGCATAGAATGCCAAATAAAAATCATTATTATTCAGAAAAGATAATCGAACATGAGCGGAGTTAATGCAATATTGATTATGCATTAGATATTTTAATTATCCGAATTATTAAATAAAAAATATTAGTGATTGTAATATAAAATATATAAATATATTGTAATATAAATATAATTATAATTTAGCATGATTTTCTTTTCGTTTAATTATAAATTCTTTTTTTAAAAAGTATTTTTTATAGTTATAGATTATTTATATCTAAGCATAGACAATTACTTTTAATAAATAATTTTTTTAATAATAAGTGTATACAATTTTCAGAAATAATAAAGATTATTATATTTCTTCAATCTTTAAATTTTTGAATTACTTGAAATTTTTTTTATATTATTACTTCTTTTTATATTTCAGAATTTTTTTTTATATTTTTTGTATTTTATATATACAAAGTGCAAATAATTTTCAAATTAAAATCAATTTAAAAATTATTATTTTAAATATATGATTTAAAATTTCTATATTAAATTTTTTTTCTAATTATTTTTCAGAATAGTGAATAGCAATTTCACATTTTATTTAAAATTATATTTCTTCATGAATATTTTTGTATTCTCACAATATCTTTATCATGTTTTAGAACATTACTTAAATAATTGCCTCATATTTATATGCTCACTGCAGCTATTAATTGTAGATCGTTTGACGTTTTGTTTTGTCACCAAGACGATTTAGAAAGTTGCAACAAGCCTATGAAGACTCTGAGAAAAGTTAGCGCTACATTACAAAAAATAAAAACCTGTTGCAAAATCTTCCAGCATTTTTCTCTCTCGTCACCGTGAGAAATCTTCCTTCGATTCTCTCTTTCTCGGGTCATAATTCACCGTTGAAAAGTCTCCTTTCACCCTCGACAAAGATTAGTTCCCAAGAAACTTTTACTTGCTATAGATATGCAACACAAGAGAAGATGTTTTCCTGGAACATTCACTATCTAATATTTTTTTCTTTAATGAAGTCATTTCGTATAATGAGTTTTTAAATATCATTTATTGTTAAATTATTGTTAAATATTTTTAAAATAAAAAATAAATTAATTTATAATATATAATATAGAAATTAAATTATTAATGAATTATAAATTTTATCCTATTTTGTTTTCTGAAAAATTTTTTGTTATCTACTTCTGATAACTTTAAATGACTTTTATCAATTTTTTACTATACTTACAAATTTTTTTGTTCATAATTTAGACAATGGAACTTCAATATTTTAAAACTATTCTTATATTCTTGTTCTTTTCGTTTGTTTAGGAATTTATCAATATGAGGATGATATGGTTAATGTTACTTCTCACCATTATTGTGGTGAATGCTCAACGTCGACTTGCTCTTCCTGATCCACGCAGTTGTGCCAATCGTAAGTGTTTTTCAATCGTTTGATTTATTTTAATCTTTTTAATAAAAAAATAAATCTTGTTTTAGGAGTGCGACATGCCACTTATAGGGATGCTAGAGGTGTTGCACATTCGTACTTTTTCAGTTGGGAACATCAACCGACTAGAAATCTCGAAGTAGATTGGCTGGATGCTCGTAATATTTGTCGCAGACATTGTATGGATGCAGTTTCTCTTGAAACACCGCAAGAAAATGAATTTATCAAACAACGAATAGCACGAGGTTAATTATTAAACAGAATATTTTAATTTTATTTTTATTTTAAAATTAATTTTTAAAATAATTTCTTATCTTTATATAGGAAATGTGAGATATATCTGGACATCTGGACGCAAATGTAATTTCAATGGTTGCGACAGACCAGATCTTCAACCGCAGAACATTAATGGATGGTTCTGGTCTGGTTCAGGAGCCAAAATTGGTCCAACTACACAGCGTAATACTGGAGATTGGAGTCACACTGGTGGATATGGACAAGCACAACCTGATAATCGTGAAGCTGCTCAGGTAATTTATTATTTTTTCATAAACACAACATATATGTACAACAAATAAATTCGAACGATTAATGGCAATGAAAATTTGAAATGTTTATTAATTTTAGGTAATATTGATAAAAAATTTATCTTAATTTAAATTTCATTTTTAATAGTTTTTTAATGCATGAATTTATATTGCAGGGTAACGACGAATCTTGTTTATCAATTCTAAATAACTTTTACAATGATGGAATTAAATGGCATGATGTAGCTTGCCATCATCGAAAACCATTTGTCTGTGAGGACAGTGATGAACTTCTGAACTTTGTGCTTTCTAGAAACCCTGGCATTCGTCTTTAAATTTTTACAGCTTCTGTTATTTCTTGAATATTAAGTACCTAAAATTGTTTGATTGGACAAAAATAATTTTAATAAATTTCATTTCTATTTTTTAAATTCTAATTTATGTATGATTATAATCTATTGATTATAATTAAAAATTAAAATTTTTTTATTCATATTCAATTATATTTTAAAAAAATTATATCCTTAAAACAAATTCAAACAATATTAGATATTAAACAGTCAAGAATTAGATGTAGATTAAATAGAAGCTGTTTATCTAAGTTTAATTTTTGTACTCTTTTCTATACAAAATACAAGGCAATAATTTTTAAATTTTTATTTTTTTCCCCTAAATGTTGAAAAATAATACTTCTTTGAATTTTCAAAAAACCTTTATTTTATCCCTTAGTATCTTGCAATTTACACCTTTAAAGCATACTTCCTTGGAGGAAAAGCAGATCTCTTGCGTATTTCTTTTAGAGTCTTTCTATTGGCTTGATAAGGTGTCAATGCTCTTCTAAGAGCTCTAGTTTTTTTTGGCCTTAAATCCAAAGGCTTATATTTATGATTTTTGTACAATAAACGCAAATTTTCCTTCTGTTTTTGATGCATAATAATATATACCCTAGCTATTGCTTTCCTCACCACACGGCTGAAATACATAAAAAAAAAAAAAAATAAAAATTGATATTTTTAATTATTTGGAAAAAGAAGAAAATGAATAAAACTATTATTAATTTAAAATATGAATAAATTCCTTATTTTTATATAATTTTATATATTAATCTTACAAATTATTAGATCAATTTTATACTTGAGTTTTTAATATAAATAAAATAAAATAAATGTAATAAAATTAAAATTAAAAATTAAAAAAATATATACGTACATTTTTGAAAGTTTCGATGCAGCACCACCAGTAACTTTTGCTACTCGAAGATTTGTCAACTCAGTTTTAAGTTCTTCCAGTTGCTTGAGCAATTCATTTTTGTCTTTTGTCCTCAGATCAGTACACTTAACTTTACCCTGGAACGATAAGCACAACACTACTTACATTGCACTTTTATATACTTGGCTAATTTTAAAGATTTCAACAATAACTAACCATACATACATACACACACACACACACACACACACACATGTGTATATATATATATATATATATATATTAAAACATACAATAGATCAAACAAAAAAATTTTCGTTAAAAATGAAAAAAATATCTTATTATTAAAAAGTAAGGTTATGCACACGATTATTTTTAAAGTATCATTCTGTTTACATAAATTATTAAATATTTTTAATCGTATTATGATAAAAAAATTATGATAAAATTTCTAAATAACAATTGAATAGGATGTTTTAATCGAAAACAGATTTTCACCGATTCACTAACCATTTTGCTGTAATACTTCTTCAACGGAAAAAGGAAACAAGAGAGAAAGTCACGAACCAATGGAACATATAATTACATGTCCCTAAATAACTAAATTGCAACTACAGAGCCATCTACCAACGAGAATATTTATTATATTTAAATGAATATGAATATTTATAACGTAAAAATTTTCATTTATTTTTTTTTGAAAAATATTAAAGTTATGATAATTTATAAATAAGCTTTTATTAAATTATTAAAAAAATTAATACATTGTTTAATAATTAATCTTTTTAATATCATTTTTGTACAGTGACATCTTTAGAATAATATTCTAAAGATCTGTCAGATTTGAATACTATTTTTTAGGTTATATTTAAAGAATTAAGAAATTGGAAAGAATATTTACAATAAAAATTATAACAATAAATGTTTAAATTAAAATGTGATTGTAAAGTAATTTACATAATTAAACAAAATATTTTATATAATGCATTGATTTAAAACTTCAAAAGTTTTGAATTGTTAAATGTAAAATAAATATTTACTGTTATATTTTAATATATAATACGAAAATGAATAATTAATTTTTTTTTTCTTTAATAAAATCAATGATCTTTTCTGTTTTAATAATATATTGTTAATTAACTTTTTAGTTTAACAATGAATTTCGTAAATGATATGCGAAAAGTTCAATGTGCACTTCTGGACGAAGCTCTCACAAAAGTAAATTGTTAAATAAATATCTAAAAAAAAATTTTTATATATATGAAAAAAAATTAATTTTATTTTAAACTTCTATATTTTTAATTAAATTCATTTTGCCTAAATGTTTTATAAAAATATTATATATTTTAAATAAATAAATATTAAAAAGTATACAGCATTATTTTTTAAGGGAATTCAACGCAATGAAGAACAATGTAAAATATGGATAGCTTACAAAAAGAATCATCAAAAAGTTGCAGAGACATTACAAATTTTTCAAAAAGATTTATATGTAAATTGTATGATACCTATTGGAAAAAGAGCTTTAATGAAAGGAAAATTAATTCATACTAATGAAATACTTACTTCTTTGGGTGATGGATATTTTGCAAAATATAGTGCCTCAGGTGCTATAGCTCTTTGTAAAAGAAGAGTACAAAGTATGATGAATATTATTAAGTAATATACATACAATGATTAAATAATAATTAGCATTTAATGAATAATATAAAATTATAAAATTATATATTCTAGGAGCTGAAGAAATGTTAAATAATTTAAATGCAGAAAGAGATTTATATGAAACAAGAATGATGATGTTAGAAAGTAATCTTTTTGATGATTTTGCTGGAGGAGAGATTATAGAACATTGGAATGAAAATCAAATTACAGAATGGAAAAGTAAATTCTCATTTTTTTTTTTACAAATATTGCAATTTTTTATAATTTTTAATTTTTATTACAGAAAAGCATAGAGAAAGAGAAAGAGAGTATCATCAGAAATTAGTTAAATTGAAACAGGAAGAAAGAAAAAAGATAGAGACAGAAGAAGATCTATTTAACAGACTTGATCAACTTGAAATTGAAGAAGAATTAGCAGATGAATTAAATAGGTATATTTTTTAATATTCTTTAATTTCTCTGATTTTTAAATTTTGCATTTTTTTTAAAAATTATTTTGATTTATAGATTAGAAGATTATGAACATTTTGAAAAAGAATTACAAGATGGAGAATGTTATTATGAATCGGAAAGTTCTTCTGAGAGTGAAAAAGAAGAAAGTTTTAAAAAAGAAGAAAAACAAGTTCTGAATTCTGATACAAAACAATCTAAAGATTCTGTTGAAGTTTATAAAATAAAAAAATTTGTTTCATTTGTAGAACCAGAAGATATTTCAAATAAAGAAGAAAATTCGATAAAAGAAAAGGAAAAAAACGACAAAAGTATGGTAGATATGGAAGATTTTTTTCGAATAGAATTCAGTCATTCTGAAAATTTTGTTTTAAAATCAAAAGGAAATTTAATAGAAACTCCAGCAGATATTTATAGAATATTTTCAAAACCTAAATCTATTTTGAAAAGATCATTAAATGATATGAATCCAGAACAACTTGTTCCACAATATAGTATGGAAAAAGAAGAAGAAAAAGAAGAAGAACAAGAAGAAGAAGAAGAAGAAGAAGAAGAAGAAGAAATTATTCAATCTTCAGCTTATGAAATTGTATAAAATATATAATTTTTATATTTTATTTGAATCATAATCATATTATATAATAATATAAGTATTTTGATAATTTTTAGGTGGTAAAAGATATTAAAGAAAGAAGTATAACAGAAGTAACAAATGAAATTTTAAGAAAGAAAGAAGAAAATAAAAATATCCGGCCAATTAGTAAATTTAAAAGAGATCGTCAATTAAAACAACAGTAACATGTATAATATTAGATAATTATTTAGTAGTATTATGAATAAAAGATATTTTGCAATAAAAATTTAATTAAAAATTATTTTTTATTAAAAGAAAATTAAAAAAAAAAATGTTGAAGGAGAAAAAACATTTTTATTCTAGATATCTTCTTTTTTGTTAATATCAAAGATTCGTTGTTTATGATAGGATATTAATTACTGTAATATATTTTAGAAAATAAATAAATAATGCCAGCTTTCTATGATCTAGAAATAGATAGAATTTAATCCAAATTTGGTGTTATTATTTCTATTATTTGTATAAGTTCTGATGTAAACGTGATTATTATGTTATATCATTAAATAAGATCATTTTTATAATAGAGTATCTTATAATTTTTTTAAACAATAATCATTTTAACAATCAAAACAATCAAAGTATGAAATAAAAATTTGTATTAAAAATATTATGTAAGAATGTAAGAATAAAAAATATAAAATATATATAAATAAAAAATTATTATATATATATAAATAAAAATAAAAATTAAAATAAATAATTAATAGAAAAATAAATAATTAGAGAAAGTAAAAATACAAAAGTTTAAAAATTTAAAAAATAAACTAATAATATTAAAAGAGTATTAATTTCTAACGTGATATTATATATATACAGCATTGTTTCGTTTCGTATTATGCTTCTTATTCATTATTCCTTTTGTACTTTTGTAATTGTTATTATTGACATTCTTTAGAAGAAACAGATTAAAAGCAATTTCGAACACAAATTTTAACATTATGAAAATTTTTTTCATATATTAGTATATTTATTCAAAATAAATAAAATAAAATAATTATTTTTCTCTTCTCATCATTTTTATTTATTTATTTTTATTTTATTTTATTAATTCTTTATATATAATTCTTTATATAATATATATATTTCTTGTATTAATTAATTTTATTTTTTATTTTCTTGTTCTCTTTTGAAAATTGAGATTGATTTGAAAATATGTAAAACACAAAATTAAAAAAAGTATATAACATCAATAATAATAATATTTTATTTAGTTAATTTTCGTTAGAATTGAAAGTTTCGTTAGAATTAATAGTTACTCATTAAAATGTTTTTCGTTTTTCATATATTATTTCATAAGAGATCAGGTAACATCAACTTGACATGTAAATATGTAAATAGAAGGGAAAAAGAAAAGATCGATCGAATTGTTATATTTTGTGTAACATTGAAATGAAATTAAGACATTACTTGATTATATTATAAGTTTATTTATCATGATTAGAAAAAAAAATTTACCGAGAAAAGTCACTTTAAAAATTTTTTTAATTACTAATTGAACGAAGTAAGACAATTTAACATTAGTATTCAAATTTATTATTAAATTATTATATATTTAAAAAAAAATCAAAGAAACAGTAAAAAGTTTTTATTCATATATATACAATTTTTTATTAATAAAAATATAACTTTGATTGAATAATAAAATAATTATAATTTTTTTGTATGTACTTGAATTGAACAACTTCGAAACATTGTTAATGAAGCAAATAATCCCTAGAGGGAGCACGTGTTTATCGCAATGCCATTGTTTCCGTTCACGTAACGGCAAACAATCAGGAAAAGGTTACGAAAGGAATCGAAAGTGAGAATTCGCACACTAAATAAACAATAAAGCGGTCTTGATTAAGTTTCATTTGACTCATTGATCGAACAGATTAGATTGTTAGTCCATGATTATGTCTATTGTCTTAAACATGATCAACGATTATTAATCCCGTTATATCCGTTTACCTTTCTAAAAAAAAAAAAAGGTAATTTTAAGCAGATCTTAGGATATGAAAAATATTTCTTCTTAATTATATTAATGATTAAAAAAAAATTATAATATCCTAATGTCATTTTGTAATTTATAAAAAAATTATCGATATTTATCTATTATTTCATATATATTTGAAAGATAAATATATTTCTTCAGTTAAAGAAATATATTATTGATTTTGAAAATTTTATTCAATATTTAATTTTACGAAAAATGACCTTAAAAAATTTTATTAATAATTCAATTATATTGAATCTAGAGTTTTGTTATTAAGCATAATATTTTAGTTTTTAAAATAAAAATTATTATATTATAATTAGGACTTCTTTTTAATAATGCTTATTAATAGATTTAATTTAAATTTCTTATTGTATCATTTCTATGATACATCATATGAAATCGATTAATTATATTGGTTATAAATCTCAAATTACTAAAATTAATTATTATAATAATTATTATATATTAATATATCACTTGAAATTATTTTCTTATAATTTTAAAAAAATGAAGCGAGTCTCTAAATATTTTTTATGACTGAATGAATTTTATTATTCATTAATCGAAGAAAAACAATGAAATATAATTACTCGTAATAATTTTACATAGTTTAGGAAGTATAACTGAAAAATGACTTTAATATCATTCAAATACAAATTACTTTCTAAATCAATTTTAAATCAATTGTCGATTTATATATATATCATAGTCAATATTCATTGTTGTCATATTTATTTTTTACGGCTCATGTTATTTTTTAACATACTTTATTACATATAGATATATGATTTTATTAATTTTAAAAATGTATTGCGATATATTGATCATTGAGTAAATAAATCTTTTTCTGCTATATTGAAAAAGTTATACAATTATCTCAAAATATTTTTAATATATTAGAAGCATGTTATTAGTATAAACTACTAATATGAGATTAGTTATAGATTATTATATATTATTATAGATTTTATAATTATTATTTTATAATTATATTATTATAGATTTTAATATATTATTTGTATATTACATTAATATTATTTTTAATATTCAACATTAAATTATTTACAGTTAATATTTATAGTAATATTACAACTAATATTAATTATATATATATATATATATATTAATTATTTATTATTGTATAAAAATATATAACATATAAATTAGTATTGTTAGGAATTATATTCATATTGAACTATATATAGTATCATATATTAGTAATTAACTTAATTAATCCACTTTATAATTAACTGATCAATATCATATAATCTAACCTAATTCTTGTTTATCAAATAACAGTTCCTTTTAGTATTTCATAATATTTTAATCCATATTTATTTCATAAATCAATTTGATAAGAAATTAGTATAGATGAGATCAAGTTCGCGTCATCAACCTCAACCCCAATTTTTTTGTAAAGTACATGTTTTAAATTATATTTTCATTATTATAATACCATCATTTTATTAAATGTTGGAATTACTCACAAATTATAATATTATTTCTTTATTCATTCAATGAATAAACAAATTAAACTAACATTAAATCATTAATTCTTTTTTAAAAGGCGGATATAAATAAAAAATTAGAGTTATTATTATTATAAGATTATCTTCTTTAAGAGCCAATATTGTTACATTTGTTTCATTTTAAATATTTTTTTAAATTAATTTGTAGAATTGAATTCTATGTTTTAATATTATGATTATGAAAGGTGATCTTTTATTTAGTTATTTTTTTATCGCAATTTCTTTTACTTAAGTCAATTTTATTAACTTTGAAAAAGAAATAAGATCTGTGTAATGATCTTTTCTAAATTACTTATAATACCAATATATATTAAATAATTTTTGTTTCAAAAACATTATTTCACTATTTGATTTTTGGTTCAAAGATGGACAATGGTCCTGTTTTAATGAAGTCCTGATTGGTTAATTAGTCCTGCTAGTTAAGTTAGATAGGCTATCCCACGCGGTGAAGTAATCAGCTTTCTCCACTCTGGAAAAAAGATGCGTTCCTCTCATATACCAGGTCGTCCCAAAATCGCGCATGCTGCTAGTTAAACAATGGGAAATAAAGCGCGGATTTTCTACACGCTTAGCGTTCCTATGTGAACTGGAGTACAAGGAAAGATCCCTAGTTTTATACACGAGGAGATCCACGCGGATTCTCCTCTTGCTGAAGGAAGATCCATACTCGACAGGAAATGAATCTTTGTAGTCGTAGGTGAGCTCTCTATATAAGCCAGGTATAAGGCAAAACATCACTATAATTCAACATTTCACACGGTGCTCTAGTTTTCTGAGTACTCTCAAACAGTATGAACAGAGTAGTGCGACAGGTAATCAGGAAATTCATTGACAAGTGGAATTTTTACAATCTTTGGTACTGGTGCTATGCTTGCGTCGACATTATGATATTGCGTGTTCCGTTGACTAGTGATTTAAGGAATTAGGTGATTATTTGGTGGAAGATACATAAATATGGTAAAGGATATTGATTAGAATTGATAGATTCGGTAATTGGAAGTGAATGATTATCCAAAAAAAGTGATTTTTTTTATTCTATATTGGAGTTAAAAAAAATTGTTTTTTTTTATAGAGTAAAATATATATATAAAAATTATAATTTTAAATTAGAATAAATTTAAATCATAAAAACATTTTTTAAATTTAATTATTTAAATTTTGAATTTTTAAATTATATATTTTTTAATAAATTTTTTAATTTTTTAATATTCTAATATTTCTAATATTCTAATGTTTGATACATTAATGAGTGTTTTTATTGATATTCTTGGATAATTATTTAATTCTGAAATTGGTAAATTGCACGTAATACTAATATTAAATGCTTATGAAAAATTTTCTACGACAATTATTAATTTTCTAAAGTTCTAATAATTGTTATTAGACTTTATAGTATAATATAAATTATAATTCGTTCAAAAATTTAAGATCGTAATTATGTAATCGATATAATTTAAGTAATCGAAACAATTCAGTTTTTCATTAAATTAAAAATTATGCGATCTCATTATATTTTTGAACAAATTATACTATTATTTTATATTCATTTTCTACAATTATTCATTTTCATATTAATCAGTGATAAACTTTAATCAATAATCTTTTCAAAAAATTATTAATATTTTTATAAATCAATGTAATCAATTACATTATTAATACAACTAATTCAAATTATTTTAAATTAAATTATTTTAATTTTTTCATTTTCTTCATTAATCTCACAATTCTCTACTTTCAGTAAATGTCATACAATTTTCAATTTTCAAAATACATAAATGAAATGAAATAAACTACAATGAAATTTTTCTAATTTTAAATTCTTAATATATTATAATTCTTAATATATTTATAAATTTCTATAAATTTATAAACTTAACCTAAACTTTTAAAGTTTCTACTACTATTTTGCCTGAGTACAAATATTGAAGCTATAATTTACTAATTCCAAATATTTTAACTATCATCAATATTAATTCATTGTGACTATTTATAAAAAAAATTATCCGAATTTAATTGAAAACAATTACGTTAATATTATTTTATTTTATACAGTTAATGTTTTCCGGTGAGAAGTATATTAATCACCTTTTACAACTGGATATTGTACGACTCATTTTTATATGTTTACATATTTACATATTTAAACTTATTATTTCATTATGTAAATGCATTTAGTTTTGTGTAATCATTTTTGTTAGTTAGCAGCACAGGCATGTACGATTTACACAGCAATATAAATAACAATATACGCGTTTCACAATTCGTCTATATGCAACTATTCTAACCTCGTCTTAAATAGCTGCACACATGCGTGCTTCAATAGCTTTGATTAATATTTTTTGTTTTTTGCATTTTTTATTTCTTTTCAATTTAATTGTAATTTCATTTTAATTTAAATAATTATTTAATTCTCTAATTATTAAAATTTATTTTCGATTTTACGATTCTTTGTTTTAATCTATCATAATTTTTTATCAACATAATATATATTTATAATAAGTTTTTTATTTTTAAAAATAAATTTTTTTTACTTATTATCAAATATTTATTTCTTTTTTCCTTGACTGATGTAATAATAATATTAAAGAAATTTTATTGATCTTGAATATAAGATCTGTACATTATATAGATTAATTCGTACGTATACATATAGATAGGTTAATTTTTTTATATTAATTAGTATCTAATATAATATACGAATTGAATACATCACAGTACAATTTTCGGAATTAATAATCTGAAAAGACTTCTTTTTTTTTGTATCTCGTATTATGAAATAAAAAATAGTATTCTTTAATAAAATATCAATCTTTATTTCTTCTGTTTTTTGAATCTGCATTTCATCATCGATTTCTATTTTTCAATTTTAATTATAATATTGTATATTCATATTTTGACAACTGAAAAATATTTTTATTTATAATAAACAAGTAAATTTAACGAATCTTTTATAATTCTTTATTTTTTAAAAAAATTCTGTTTTTTCAGGAAAATAATACTATAATTGACTAATTTTTTTCACACTTTTCTTTATGAAAATATAATTCTTAAATATTTTAAATATAATGAATGTTATTATATCTATATAATATATCAATATATAATATTTATATAATAATCAATTAATCTAGCTATTTAAAATATTTCATATAATATTTAAAAATTTTACATTTTATATACATCTAATTAACAATATCTATGTAATTAATTATTTGATTTATTCATGAATAAAAATTTTATTTTTTATTCATTTCAGAAGAAATTGTATTTAATATCTTATTTATTGTTTAGTGCACAATGAATAATAACCGTGACTTATGTGATGATCAAAAAATTGTTTCTAAAAAATTGTTTTCACATATAAGAAACGATAACAACAAATTTTCTTAATGAGATATTCACCATAATTTAACAAAACCGTTTAATTTCTTCTTCCCTTTTTCTTTATTTTTTTCCTCTTCCTTTTCTGCAATCATGTTTAATCTAATGCTGATTTTGAACGTAATGATGCAATATCTTAGAAACTTTCTCACGACAAGAAGGAAAACGCTGGTTCATGACTCTAATTTCTCGCCTACGCAATGCGAGCTGCCTTGATCATCTCGCGCTTTCAACGTATCTGTTGTACACCTGGGAATTCATTTGATATCTATAAGATTGATATTTTACTATTTCTTTATTATGATATTGTAATTATTATTAGAAAATAAAATAAATTAATAATTAGATTAGGTTATGTTTTATCAAGTTTTGACATTAAGATTTTTCAGTTTTTATTATATCAAATATTTAATATTTTTTATTGTTATGTTTATTATTTCATTATAATTTTTTTCTTCTAACATTGTTATATTTGTAATCTTTGAAATACTATCCTTTAGAATAATCTTTAACGTACCATTAATAAATATTATTAAACACTACAAATATAGATATTTGAAAAAATCTTCAAATAGTGGCTGTAAATAATCTTCAATATCTAATATAATTAATAAGATTTTAATTTTTAGTTAACTCTCGCTCTAATGGTGAGCATAGGAATCGTGCAATGTGAACCTACATTGAACACGCAATATGGTGTCCCAGGAAATTATGCTGGTAATAATCATGGAGCATCAAGTGGAAATAGTTTTGGTAATCATCATTACGATAATGGAAACGATAATGATTATGTCGATCAGGTAAATCCAAATGATTTAAAATAAATCAATTTATAATTTGATTATAATAATAATATAGTTTAATAACTCAGATTATTCATTCGAATTGATTAAAATTATAGAACAATTAGATATAATTTATTTATTGCTTGTCATTTAAAATTTCTTTTTTTATATATTTAACGATTATGATTGTGATACATTTTCATCTTAATTGTTTGAATTAGGGATAATTCTCTATTGCGATAGAAATTGAATTACTATTACTTCAACGATTGATATTAGTCTAGGGAAATTTATTTTGCTGTTAGTAAATCAGTATTAGAAGGAAATAACAATTTATTTATTTATTGAATAACAATTTATTAAGGAATTCTATATTTGTTTTATTCTAATTTTTCTAATTCTCAATATTTTCCTAATATAATAATAAAATAATAAAAATATTTAAAAAATAATAGAAATAATAGTTAAAATAATATATACGAGATTAAATGATTTAAATCATAATTTAACTTTGATATTTTATTCATTTATTCTGCATTTCCGTTAGTGTTTCATAATAAACTCAAAGGTTGCAAAAGATGAATAGATCTGGGTTAACGCTGATTCTACAAGTAACATTGAACTTTGTTGAGTACTGAATACATGATCTGGATATATAAATCTAGAATAGATTGATCGAACATCGATTTTGCTTTTTATTCAGGATAGTCATAGTCACGTAATATTTTTTTTCTCTATCTAAGATCAAGATAATATAATATATGATTTACAATATATTTTTTTAATTTTAATTAATATTATTTATCATATATAATATATTTTTCTTTACTATAACTTTACCATATAAAGATTTACCATATAGATTAAAATATAACCTTAAATTACACTGTACAAATTATAAAAATTACATTATAATTTTTGTAGAATATTGTGATTTATTATAGATAAATAATAATAAAATTTATTTTTTGCTTGAAAAAATTTAATATTTTAAATGTTTTATCATAATTATTTATTTTAATTAAATCAAGAGAAGAATTATTGTTGTGAATCATTTGAATTATTCTAAACCACAAATTAACCACGAAATGACTGGTATGATTAAGAGAATTTATGTGCTCCATAAGTACTCTAAGCATTGCGACAGAGAACAATAACCACTCCTTAAAACCGCTGCAATACTGTTAAAATTATATTAATGCAACTACGATATAAGAATACACGTAACTATAGTTGTGAGTTAATATTGGGAATTTGAAAATAATTTTATTTAAACAAATTTTTTTTTTAGAACATAAATATTGATATTAACATATATATATATATATATAATTATATTTATGGAATCATATTTTTAAATTCATGCGAAATTCTTCGTCTGATGATTTCCAAGTATATCCAAGACTATGGTTGACCATAAATGTCTATAATATTATAACGCATCTTATAACATGAGATTGATTGTTTAAGAAAAAAGAGATGATGTATGGTTGCGGTTGAATTATGTATCTCGATTCTTCGTATGAATGATTATAAGAGCATGTGACCATTGAAATCATTAGTCCATAGATAAACGAGTTTATCATGTATGAAATCAGGAATATTACTATAACAGGAATGACTAGTATAAGTATAAGATTTCCTTTGAGTCTTAATAGAAGATGAACGTTGAGCAAATGTAGAGAATATAGAATAAATGCGATAAGATTGATCTGGAAATAAAATCATATGTATAAAATCATATTGTATAAAAGAATGTTTTACAAAGATACGTATTTAATGAATTCTTTTAATTAAATGGAAAAAATTTACAAAATTTAAAAAAGAAATAAGAAAATTGTGTTCATGATATGATTTCAAGTTCCGAAAATTGCGTGTTGATATCAAAATCTCGAGTTTCAACCATGAAATGTTATATATTCATTCTGTTACGTGATGATGTAAACGCAATCTGATGTAACATTATTAATAGGAATGAACCGCGACCGCAGGCATCATTTAAGATGTAAATCGTTATTGCCGATTAGCTAATCGTCTTGAGAATCTAAACAGTCCAGTTATGTGTATTTGTATGATTTTAGCCTCGGGTCGAATGAGCCAGATTAAATTAGAACTTTCTTTTTCAATCTCTCATTTGATCTATTTCTTTTTTTGAAAAAAATTCAACCATATAATTCGAGTATTTACATTTTTTTTCTTATACAAAATAAATATAATATAACAATAATTTAACAATTGTTAAATAAATAATTATGAATGTTTTGATTTATTGAATAATTATAAATATTTTCCTTTTGTTGAATATTTATATTATTGAATATAATATAAAAAAATAATTAAATATTTTTATCAACTTTCAGTAATAATATTTTTCATATAAATTTATTATATAAACAGAAAAATAAGATAATAAAAGTCCATGTAATTTGTTAAAAAATAAATAGTTTTAATCATTTTAATTGCATCTTCATGTTATCAAGTTACATATGTATGTACAAGACAATAGTTCAGTAACGAAATCATTGAATTAGGTTAAGAAAACATTCAATGCAACGATCTGAGAAATCACTTTAGTAGAAAGTTCGACATCTCTGATCAGCACCTACATGCAAATAAGGTTTGCGCATATTTATGCTACAGTAAAAATTATAGTGTATAACGCCTTCATTGTTTATATATTGCTATAATCATTAAGTAATCATTTAAATTAAAAGTTGCTTTAAAATTTAAAAAATTAATCAAATAATCAGAAAAAATGTTTTATTCTATTTATATGTTTCTATTTATATACATATTTATATATAATAATTATATTTTTTTATATTATATACAATAATTATATATAATATTTATTACTATACTACATATAAAATAATAATGATGTAATAATGAAGGCTATGAAAGAAAATTTGCAAAATTTATATATATTTATGACAACTAGGATCATATAAGATTATTTTAAAATTTATCTTTTATTTGATTAAATCTGTTAGATTTTTTTTTAAAGGATTGAAAAATAAAAATCTTTTTGTAATTATTAATCGTTTTAGATAATAAATTTAATTTCTATATTAATTATAAATTGTTGAGAGAGTAAAAAATATTCTTTCTTTCAAAATTAATATTTTAAAAAAATTAAAACTAAATATCAAATTTATATTTTATCTGTCGCATCATCAATATTATTTATAGTATAAAATAAATATTGTTTCTTTGTTTAGCCAATGTCCTATGAATTTGGATATGCCGTAAAGGATCAAGCAACCGGAAATGACTTTGGTAGACGCGAAACAAGCGATGGTGAAACTGTAAGAGGAGAATATAGAGTTCAATTACCGGATGGTAGGACACAAATAGTAACTTACACTGCTGATTGGAGGACAGGTTTCCACGCAGATGTAAGATATGAGGGTATTCCAACTTATCCTGATCAATTCAGTAATCAGAACAATGGTTATAATAATAATAATAATCAAGGTAGTAGTCAAGATTTTGGTTTCCATGGTAATAATGCTAGTGGAAGTTACAATACAGGCAATTCAGGTAGTTTATGATTCTTATTCTATTATTAATGATTAATGATAACTCACTTGCTCAAATGTGTTTATTAGAAATAATAAAATTTCGAATTTTATTATTCAATTATAATTTATTTTTATGAAAAGAATAAAAAAGATAAATTTTTAAGTTAATTAGAATTGATTATTATGTTTTGTTTTTCAAGGAAACAATGGATATAATTACCAACCACCTAGTGGAAGTGGATTCAATAATGGTAATAATTATCCATACCAATTTGTTTCCAATCAAATTTCCAATTCATTAGACAATAGTTATAATAACTTTGGAATTCGCAATAATTATAACACACGAATTCCATCATCAACATATGGACCAGCTTTTAAGTGATTTTACAATTCCTATTATTAGCATAAGAAATGTTCTGTAAGATTAGTTCTTTTGTAATAAAAACAATTTTATCTTTTTATATTAATATATAGTGAATTTTATAATGTAATCTTTTATTACGCCTTTTGTTTTTTAATCTTTTATTATTCCAGAGCAGAAAATGGAACTATGTATAATTTAATTTAAGAACAAATGCGATCGATATAAAAAATATCGAATATAATTGAAATATTATTACTCAGAACTTTTCGTTATATAAATAATATATTGCAATCAATAATTGCAAATAATTACTGATTTTTTCATAGTTGATGAAATCATCCGTTATAATATAGTCCTTGTCATATAGATATATCAGAAAGGATGAAATTAGAATGAAAAAATATTTCATTTTATTTATATATATATTATTTATATATAAAAGATATGTGATATTTATATATAAAAGATAAATGATATTCGCATATCATGAAAAATATCATAATGAAAGATATCAAGTTTCGATTGATGTTATTTCATATTATGGCATTAGGAAGCCTGAATCTGATGCTATTCAGGAGAATGCTTTCTCTGATATTATAAACTGTAATTGGTAGATGACACGTCGAATTCATAATACATTAAAATAGTCGAGTACACCGAAACAATTGATAATAATTTCATTCTTAAACTTTTATTAAAAAATTATTAAAACAAATTTTTTTTAATAATTTTTTTGAAATTATTTTAAAAATTTTAAAAATATTTTAAAGAAAAAATTTTTATCTATTACTTTTTAATAATTGTTAAGTATGTGCAGATAAATTAGGTAGATGTTTTGTGATAATTCCTATTCCATTTTAATAGCAATTTAATTATTAATTAAATCATCAATTAAATTATTAATTATTCTGTGAAATTATTTATTATATATAAAATATTGATGCTGATAAATAGTTTATGTGAAATAAAAATTTCACATGCATCAATATTAAAATTTATATGAAAATAAAATTAATAATATATCATTTTAAAAAATTATTTTAAAAATTTATATATCTAAATAAATCAATATTTAACTTTTGATAAGAGAATATTATAGTACAAAAATGAAATAATATAAAAAAAAATGCGTAAACAATAAAAATGGTGTATGTAACATAATGTAAAAGTAAAACTTTATTCGAATGTTTTCCTAATGCAAATAATAATGAAAATTCTAATTAATTTTTTTATCAAATATATTTGACAAGATACCTCTATAGAAGCAAGAAAGAGAGATATAAGTCTTTTTGTTTTCTACCGACGATTGAAAACAAAGGTGAAGGTGAGCAAAGTGGAAAACAAAACATCTCTTTGATCATAATGTGTGCTATAATAACTTACGAAAATCAACGTGATGTAATTGAATGAAATGCGTTTGGATTGTGGTTTAAAATCGGTTGACATGAAAGATGAGTTGCCGGTTTAATCGATGCTACAAGAGTTTTGAAAGTGCTAGCCTCAACGCTCTATTTAAAGTTAATTTCCTTGATTTCATTTAAAACTGACGGTTAAGAGAACAGTTAGCAAGGGGAGATGTACATTAATGTTTCTAGAATGCAATAAACATAGTAGATTGATGATCAAATGAAGATCTATTGAATCCATTAGTAGCCTGAAATAATAGAATAATCAGTTGATTTTGATTAGAAGAAGTAAAAGTTCTTGTTATTTATATATGTTATTTTAGATATTTTTTCTCGCTAATTATTTGGATTTATGATTGTTCGCAATTCTTACATGATATTATATTTTTGTCAATAATTTAATATTAATAAAGAAGTGAATACAATTTGTGAAAAAAGGCAATTGTTTGCTAGAAAAAATATTTATAATTTTATAAATTTTAAAAAAAATTTTTAAAAAATCTTTATCTTTTAAAAAAAAATTACTATTTTAAGAAAAACAACTATTATAACAACATAACTGTTATAGATTTAAAATTATGCATTTTGTTTGTCTTTACTTTAATAATAATAATTAATTTTAATGAACTTTTGTTATGTAATATTTCTTCCTATTTCTTAAATAAAACTTTACAATTTATATAATAAAATAATATACAATAAAGTAATTAATAAAAATATATAACTATATAAAGAAAACAACTTCATTTTCTAACCGATAAATTAATTCATATAAAGATAAATTAATATGATTTTAATTTATAAAATAATATTTAATTAATATTATATAATAATATTATATAATAATATAATATAATATTATAATATTATAATAAATATTTAAAAATATAATATGAATTGAAAATAATTCATTAACAATCCATGATATCCGAATACATCCTATTCATACACAGTTCATTACGAGGATGATCATAGTTGGAATAAAATTGCGAAAAAGATTTCGTAGAATGATGGCGTAATCAGTAATGCGTTCAAGTGAAGAGTACGTATGTTCATCTTGCTAGAAGTTCGACATGGAAGACGTTAACTGTTGCAAAGGAATGCGGATAATGACGAGAATATGCTTCTAATGCTCTGGATTCATCACGAAAAAATCAATGCCGAAATGAGGATGAAAACTCAAAAACATTCATCACTTTTGAACATCTCAGATTCTTCACTGTCTTAAATTTTTTTTCCTTTAGATATTTCTATTCTGTCTTCATGTTTCATAATATGATACTTAAGAATTTTTCTAGTAGTAAAAAATTTTGAAAATGTTGAAATATTCTATAACATAATGAAGAAATATTAATATATGTATATCTTTCATATCTTATATAATATAATAGAATACAAACATACATAAATCTTTATATATTTATATACTTTAATATTAAATATATTAATTTGTAATATATATGTAAATTACATATAAATAATGATTTTTAAAATGATAATTAAGAAGAAATGTACAACCAAATTCTTAATATAATAAAAAATCAAAATATTCTTACAGTAATTATAACATAAGAAAACTTCTCATTTATCAAAATTATGAATGGGATTTATTTATTTATTTGATTAATAAATATTATTTATTTATTTATTTTAATTATTTCAATGTCAAAATTTCTAAAAATTATATATCATTATAAATTCATTTTTCAAAAATCTGCAAATCTGCATTCAGAAATAATCCTTAAGGTACATAATCTGCAAGTTGCATCAGTAGTTAATCACGAAGTGGCAGAGTTGTCGATTATAGGATTCCTCCGCAGATAAGGTTAAAACTAGTGATCCAGTAAAAGAAACAAGAATGTAAGCACGTACATGCATATGCAGAAGGCTTCACACGTCTTCCGCATCGCAATGATTATGTAATCAGCATTTATCCCCGATTATGGTGTAAACGGCACATCAAAACATTCACTTTGAAATTCCTTAATAACTGTAAGAATAAAAAAAATAAAAACAAAATTTTTCTGAATGCTTTTATACGGGACACGAGCTTCCATAGTTAACCTTTAGCTTAATCCCACTGTGTCAGCTATAATTAGCAATAATTATATTAATTAACCCTCTTGCGATAGATTAGTTTGTATTGAATATTCAAGATAATGCAACTTTCCATCGAGACAGAAAACAGATTCTCCTCGAAAACAGATTAGAAAATAAATTAGCGATCGTGAATGTGCCGAAGGGATTTATTATAAATTAATATAACCCGACATTCTCATGTATCACGAGAATCTCTTTGCGAAATTCCTGATTTAGCATAATTATTTAGTCTTTTTGGATGGAAATATTTAGAAATAATTGTATATTATTGATTTATTAGACTATAAATTTTAATTTTATAAATTTTTTAGAATATTTTATTTTATAAATAAAAAATTATTTAATGGTTCTCATCAAGAAATCTAAAAAAAATTCTCAGATGTAAATTTAATTGGTTATTTACATTATTAAAATAGCATATTAAAAAACTCACATTTACAAATTAAATATTACATTATTATATGATGACGAATTAGATAAAGCATAATATAGATAACATAGATAAATAAAATATATATCCTTTTTATTCTTAAAGAATATCTCCGCAATATCTTTTGTATTAATCTTGCATTTTTTATTATGTTTTAATTGTAACTTTATATCATTTGTATCATTTTGATTCATTAATCATTCAATAAAAATGTCGACAAATTAGTATCCATTTTATTTCTGAAATAAAGTACGTATTTTTGAATCTATATACTTGATAATTAATTTATATATAATAATTTTATTGATATATTTAAACGACTTTTTTTCACCATAAATTTAAATAGTATATAAGTATTAACAAAAACTATATGTATTATTTTTTGCAGTGATCTTGTTTTTAATCTTATAATATAATCTTGTAATCTTAACTAGAATCTGTAATTAGTGATTTTAAAAAAACTTTAATTTATTTCTCATAATGATATTTTTGTAATTTAATTATTAATTATATTATAATAAAAAAATAGATATTTTATTTAAATAGTTAGTGAAAAGAAAAAATTAATGATGGATTTACAAAGGGTTGCAGAGAAAGTAATTCTCGTCCGCATGCTTGAGTATGTTGTAAGAATCACCTACGTTTGGTGATTTAAGTAACTGTCAGCAATCCTGAGCGAATAATATGCTTTACGAAACAAATATAATAGTAGAGTTGAATGACGATCATGTCATTCGACTCATATGATTATTTACTATATTATTTGGCCTCATTATTGCGAGTTAACTATTATATATATAGTTTTATGTATATCTTTTTCTGCTTTTCGGAATTATAAAGTAATATATGATAATCAATGCATAATAAAATGCATAATAATATATTATTTTTAAAATATGTTTTCTTATTTATTTTAAAAAGATATCCTGAAATCTAAAAAATTAAAAAATATAAAAAGAAAAATACAAAAAAATCGCATTAGGAATAAGCATATAATTAGATATAAATTAATTACTTTTTCGAGAGCAAATGTTCGAAATCATTTATAAAGAAATCTATATATATATATATTTTATAGAAATCAGATTTCTAAATACGAATAATTCTACTTACATTAAATAATTTTTAATAATTGTCACAAACTTTGTCAGGTATTTGTCAGGTATGGAAATCGATCTTCACATTTAATATTTGATCTGATCTTTTTTGTAATTGAATTATTCACACCAATTAAACTTTTAAATTAATTATATATTTGAATAAAAATAAAATAATACAATCTTTATAATCACTGCTATATTAATAGTTAGAATATTACACAGTTCCAAAGAATACAAACTATATAAATCATAAATAGAATTCTTTAAGCAAATTAACTTCACATTTAACTCACATTGATATAATTTTGAATATAATAATATTCACTTATTTGAGATTTTTATAAAAAGGTTAGGTAATTCTAGAGTAGTGACTATTTGAAATTTGATAAAATATTGATGATTTTTAAGATAAATAATTATACATGTAATCATTGCATATTAGAAGATAATTGGAAAAGAAAAATATAATTATTAATGAATTATTTTGTAAGATATACATATATGTTATACTAATTCACATTTAATAAACGTAAAAACTTTCTGTCCAAAACAATATATATTTTTTCATTTAAAATATTACTTTTATTTATAAAAAAAATTTATAAAAAAACCATTTCATATTGTGGATACATTTATATTTTCTTATTATTAAGATTGATTTCGAAGTGATTAGTAGAAAATAATTCTCAGTGAAATATTTCTAACATGTCCTTGCAAGGAAATTATAATAATCGTAATTGTAATGCTGTTAAAATAGTTATCTTTCACTTAGACCATGTAACCTCATGTTTATCGAATATATATATCCCTAGCCAAGATTACTTTCTATAGAAGTCTAGTATTCTTTAGAATAAATTTATAAAATCTAGTAATATTTTTAAATTTTCTAATATCATGATATTTGATAATTATATTCAATAATATATATATTTCTTCAGGCTATTTTTTCAAAATTTTAAAAAAATTAAAGGAGAATAAAAGTATGAATTATTGCAAATTAAAATTATCTCATTTAAATTGAAAATTTCATATCAAATTGAATGCATCTTTTCAAACTCTGATAGATAGATCGCAGATTAGCAAAAATCGCAAGTTTCGATATTCGATTTATGGGAACTCGAAATTATGGAATCTGTATGTAATCTACCAGATCATACAAGATTTATTGATACGATTGAATTGAACATATGTGACGAAGAATATAAACACTGGTCACTTAAATTAAATCATTAAAATTTTAGAGAATAATAGAGAACTAAAAAATGAAAGGAACTATTCAGATACTATTAGAATGATTTTTAAAAATGATTTTGTACAGACTATAATTCTTCTTTTTATTAAAGATTCTTCACTTTACCGGTAATGACATAATGATATACAATTATTTATATAAGAATTCATTAATCATTACAAATATGCAATTACATTTAATATATTATATTTATATTATATAAATTATATTATATTTATTCAAGAGCAAATTTTTTTAATTTGATGACAATTTTTTTGATTAAAAATTTTTATTATATCTTTTGGAAATACTCTTTTTTTGTTAATAATATGGATTGGATTTAAGACTGTATCTTTCTAAAAACTTCACAATGAAATTTATTTACAATTTATTGGACAACATAGACAAATTGAATGATTAATTTACAAAAGAAATATTATAATATATTATATTATATTATATTAATTTTATATAAATTTATATTATAATATATTTGTATTAATTTTTAATAATATTTTTAATAATAATATTATATAATATTATGCAATAATATTAATTAGAGATGATTCAATCTCATAAATAGTATATCAAAAAATTACAAAATCATAAGTAGGAGCAATGTTTGACTGAGACTGCAACTAATATGTGTCTATTGCTAAATATTGAAATAGAATTATATTCCATTTGAGTGAAAGTAGAGGGGAATTTATTAATCACACATATTGGACATTCATAGAAAATCTTAGTTAATTTGTTTGAACAATGCTGAAATAGTTATTATTACCTTTATGTCAATATCTAGACTGACATTATCGTTATCGATTTATTGGAAATATTTTAAATTCATAAAATTGAAAATTAATTTTCAATTTAAAATTTATTTTGTAGTTAAAATTTTTTTCGATTTTTTTATATATTATTTTCTTTATTTTTATTTTTTTTTTCTTTTTTTTTTTTACATAAAATAAGCTTTATGAAGGTATTAAAGCAAACGAGTTTTCCTTCTAATTCTTTATTTTCTGCCTTTTACCTATTCAATCATCACGCAGCAAGCCTATTTCTTCATCCACCTTTCATTCGTATTACAAGTTAGTAATTGGTTCACCGCATTTGAACACTCGGAGGAGATTGAAATCTTTTTTTAATTTTTTTTTTTCAATACAGATGAAATATCTTGATATTGTAAAGTTGACAGAAAGATTTACGAATTATTCAATGGGAATAAAACATCTGATGATTTTTTTTAGTTGTCAAACAATATTATCTTTTATACGTTATATTTTACAAATTATCTTGTAAGAAATAAAAAATATTTCGTATAAAAAGAAATAATTATAATTCCAAAAAAATTAAATTTCTTAATTAAATTTTATAAATTTTATTATATAACGTAAAAGAACATTTTACTTATAAAAATAAAAGATTTATTAAAAAAAACGCAAATTGTTTTAAAATAAATTTAAAAATATGACAAAAATTCTTTTGAAAATTATCAAATAAATTTATCAAATTTAATTAATAAAAAATATATTTAGAATAATAAGAACATGTAAAAAATCACAAATTAAAAATAAATTCCAGGATATTACAATAATCATTCCAAATGAAAAGAGAATAAATTCTGCTCAAAAAATTCTTTAAAACTAGAAAAATATTCTAAGGATTTCCCCAAAAAGGAAAAAAGCTTTGTTTAAAGATTTCCTATTTAAGAAGAGTTAAAGACTCTTTCACCCTCTTTAGATAAATTCAGATGATCCAGGCGATCAAGCAGTGATATACATAGATCCAATTAAAATTTGAAGCTGTTTCAGACATCATCAACAGGATACTTCTTCCCATGATGCATCACTGAGAGTGAAGGGAAGATGCGCTGCTCCTCTCCACCTCCCACACCCATAACCGGTCATTCTAATACGTACAGGTTAATACATGGATATATCGTGCTAAGGATAAACTGTAACAAAGGGTCCGGATGGTATATAAAGTCGTCCGTAGATCATCTTCTCAGTTCGCTTTGCGTCTTCGCTCATAACAGCAATATGAATTATCGTCAGGTAGGTTATTCTTCCGGTTATGCTTGCTAATCATTTTGGTAACTCAATAGTACTAGAGGCTAGATTCTGATATACTTTATTCAAGTTATTAAATTTGTTTAATTTTCTTTTATAAGGGTTGATTGTTGTTTAAAATTATTTTAGTTTTGTTTCATTTTAGTTAGATTAGATTAGGCTTGTCTCATTATTTAGTTTTATGATTTTGAATAAAGTATGTAACTTTGATTTCTGTAATTTCAAATTGAATAAGTAAATTGTTTCATTTAGTGAAATATTTTCAGATTATAGTTTTCTTTAATTAAAAATGATAATATAGAAATTTATTTTCTTTGATTGATAATTTAGATTTATTAGTTAGTTTTCTTCAATCTAGATTTTTTATAAAAAAATTTTAATTTCAATTAAAAATAGAATCATCAATCTTCATTTAATATGAAGGTTGTATTTTTTAAGTTGTATAACAATTTATTGTTTTCAGTGATTTTTAGAGATATAATTTTTTAGACTTTGGACAAAATTTAAATTCATAATATTCTAGATATTTCAACTCTTATCTTTTATAAATCAAAATAAAATTTACCAACAATTAATTTATATTTATGTAACAAATCTAACAATTAAAAAATTAGATCAAATCAATATCAAAAAATTTATACATGAAGAATTTTAAAGAATTAATTTGAAACTCTTCAAAATTGGATCAGTTAATATTCATAAAATCTTCATTTCATTTTCATTTGTGATTTTTCTGGATTAGTTTAAAATTATTATTTATATATCATGTGTTTTCAAAGCACACTTTTACTTTACTTTACGAACATAATTTTTATTCAAACAAAAAAGAAAAGCTCGTTCAATAATAATTCTGATTTCAGTGGAACATTAATTTTATCATTAGTAAATCATTGCCTTGTAATATTTCAAGTTTTCTATTGAACTCAAGCGCTGTTAGTGTTAGCGTTTTCTTCAATTCTTTTTGTCATCGATTTTAATAACACCCAATGTCGAAATCAGGCAATCGATGTTGTTATATCAAAAACAAAAAAAATTTGGTATATTAAAAAACATTTTAAATATATTTTAATATTATTATTATTATTATCATTATTACTTAATAGTAAATTATCATCATTTATAACATAAAATTAAATATAATTCATTTCTTTAAGAACTTGATATAATTGTGATAATCTTTAATATGAAACATTAATCATAAAAATTCAAGATCTTCAAAAATCCAACAAAATCTTAATACTTCACTATTTAAAATTTGTTAAACAAAATTAGATATAAAATTTGATTAATGATTCGGTCTGTACAGCGAATTCATATTCTCAAAATTATCATAAGCTATTATTTTATCTAATGCATCGAATTTTTTTTTCTTTATTTTGCGTAATATTTTTATTTTTATTGATATATATATTGAAAATAAAATTATATTCTTCTATTTTAGTTAACGAAAGTGCTATTGCTGCTATCGTGTTTTATAAGTCATGCATTTGCTGGATTGCTACCGGGTGGTAATACCGGTGGAAGTGGTTATCAATACAACAGACCAGGTGGAACTGGATTTGGAGGAGTTCCAGGGACATTCACTGGAGGAGATTTAGGAAGGGGTAGTGACTTTGGAGGTGGATTCAAAAGACCCACTACGTTATACGGAGCACCAGGTAGTGGTGGTGATATTGGATTTGGTGGACGTCCATCTACTGCTTATGGCATTCCTGGGCAGTTTGGTGGTGGTGGTGGTGGTAGTGGAAGTTATCAGGATGCTGGTTATGGTCAGGATAATGGAAGAGTAAGTGTAACGGATTTATTATAATTAAAATTGAATAAATCCGAAAAAAAGAAAAAAATATGAAATAACAAATCACATTTATTAATTCATAATTTTTATTTTTTAAAAATAAATTTAATTTTCGAGAAGAATAATTATTTCATGAACCATAAGATAATTTTTAGAAAAATTATTTTTCTTTTCACATAAATTAATGAAAAACTATTTTAAAATAATTTTAAGAATAACATAACATGTTTGTTTTTCGAACATTTGCAATAATACTGAAATTTCGATTACTTAATTCGATTACTTCGATTAATTAAGATAATGTAACAATCAAATAATAGTTTGAAAAGTAATTAAAAAAAAATCTAAATAATGTCTTATTTTTATTTTATAGCCTCAACCATATAGCTTCCAATATGAAGTGTATGATCCCCCTAGTGGCAATGACTACTCTCAACGTGAGAGTAGCGATGGAAACGTAGTACAAGGAGAATATAGAGTGTTATTACCAGATTCGAGGACGCAAATCGTGAAGTATATGGCTGATGATGCAAATGGTTATACTGCCGATGTTCAATATGAGGGACAGGCTCAATTTTCTCGAGGAGGTATTGGATCTGGAGCTTATGGGACACCTGGTCAGACAGGAGCAGGAGGATATCAAGGAGGCAAGTATAATTTTTGTATAATTGTATATATAATATAATTATATATATATCATATATCATAATTATATGATATATGATATAAATTAAAAATAATTTAAAATATGAATTATTATGAATAGTGAAGAATCAAAATCCATTTTGATATATATTTAATATATATATGTGAAAAGAAAGGATAAATAAAATTTGTAAAACATCTATAAATATAAATATAATATAATATATAATATAATATATAAATATAAATATAAAACATATATAAATATAAATTTATAAAACATATTTGTATAGTCATATAATTTAATAAAAGTCATTGAAAATTTTAGGAATTAGAATATATTGAAAAATAAATAATTATTATAAAAAAGTATAAAACAAATTATTTTGGTTTTTTTTTAGCAAAATTAATATATTAAATAATTAATATATTAATATATTTTTTGTATTTATTTAATTCACGAAAAGATGATAAAAAATCATTTCCGTATATTAATTTTTCCGATGTTTTCTCAGTAAACTTTATCACAAATTAATAAAAAAATAGAATAATAGTAAAGATATATAACAAAGTAGAAAAATGCATATTATTTTCTTATATTATGAAATATATTCGTTTCTATACATTAATATAATAGCAGTGTAGAAGTATGATAGAAAATTATTATAAAAGGATATAATACTTATTTTCTTTTACTATTTATATCCTTATATTATATTATATAATATAATATTTCTCAATATTCCTCAATATTACTTAAAATAGTAACAGAAGTATTATTAGATAAATTATTATTAGAAAATTAAATTATCGAAACAGAAAAAATATACATATTTTATCTTTTTATTCAATTGAAATATTGAAATATTAATTTTACAACAGATGCTGGCGTATTTGGTGGAACTAGTGGACAATTCGGCGGACCTACAGCTAGCAATCAGTATCTACCACCACGTAACAATTATCGGAAATAATCGACTATATCATGCATTGTCATAATATAAAAAAATACCTGACAAATCTCCCGAATGCTGGGCGACAACCGTCACGGACCTCTTTTATTTTTATAGCTTTTTTTTATTTTTTTTTATTTCTTAATAAACTACTCAATATATTTACACCACTCACAAGTCACATGCACATTTTTATATACAATCACCTCACTGGTATTTAATGATATATAATATGATATATATATATATATATATCAATTAAGATAATTTAATAATTTTTTTCTTTCTTAAGCGCACGAAGTTTGTATACGCGCGTAGTTATATATACATTTATACTTTTGTATATGGTAATTTTTCTATTATTCTATATACGCTTGTACTTTCTGCTAAGCGATCGTCAAACTTATACATATGTTTTTGTATATGTATTTATATACGAGCTTAATGTAATACACGAATGGAAATACTTTCTTTATTTAATTGATGTTTCTTTCTTTTGAGTTATTCCATTACCTATTATTATATTTTTGCTATTTTTTTTATTTCTATATGTTATGTTTTTGATAATATTGTCTTTTTTATTTCCTTTTTTTTGCAAACTTGGACAGTTCTTATATCAATATAAATAAAATAAAAAATATTTGCAAATAAATTAAAAAATAGAGAAATATTTTTCTTAATTATTTAAAATTATTTACTATAAAATAGTTTTTTAATAACAAGATATAAGTAAGAATTACGAATTAACGCCATCTTCAGTGTATCTTTAAAAAGATAATTTTTTTATAGAAATTTTTTATCATTCCAGATGGCAATGACAATCAATTCTTATCCTATTTCTATCCTTATTTATTTTTTATCTATTATTTGCTATCCTTATCCGACTTATGTTTCATTTCGAAGATGATTAATTTTAATTTTATCTTTGTCCTTTTCTAATTTATTTTTTTTTAGCTATTATTGTTCTACGAATTTATGAATGATGTCAAATGGTATCTAATTTCTGATTAATCTTTGTTATATTAAAAATCTTTACAGAATCTAATGCATCCAAATTTTATATATCCTAAATATTTTTGAAGAAATGTTTTTCGTATTTTTATAATAAACAAAATATATAGATATAGAATATAATATGTTTTTTCATTTTTATTCAAAAGTTATTAAATATAATATATTATATTTTAATTTTTTCGTATGGCTGAAGTAATAACAGAATCGACGTTCCAACCAATCAGAGAATCGCAAAAACTGCGATGAAATGAATTAGTGCGCATCATAGTGCGCATGGCGTCAGTCTACAATTGTTAATTGTGGTGATAGATTGCGTTTTACCGGTAAAAGTATATAATTACATAAAATTTTTATTAATAGAGTATTATATTACAATTATTACAATATTAAGCTTGATTATAGATTATTAAATTTCGTTTAAATAATATGTTCGTATAATCATTATTATATGAGAATTGAATGTTTTTATGCAAATTATCGTTTAATTGGAAGTTCGAACGTGGGATGGATTTGAAAATGTAATAGTTTTTGTATACATGATAAGAAGTAATTCGACAACTTTCATATTAATATGATAAGATTTTATTTATTTTAATAGAAATTTTATTTCTATAATTATCATAAATTTCTTTTGTTTTTTTATTTATATAAAAATGGAAATAGCTAAATCATTTCAATAAATTCTTATGTACATATTTTCATGTATATATTTCTTAAATGTGTCATGCGTTTAACTCGTATGTTAATATTTCTGAAATTTTTTATGTTTCTAATGTTTCAAAAATTTCTTACTTGTTTTAATTGTACGTTCAAAGCATAATCCAAAGTTAAAAACATTTCTTATAACAGAAAGTTAATGGTTCGTGTTCATATCATGTTAGATGTGTGACTTGTTGATATATCCCCTCTCCAATTTGTAATTCGATATATTGAAATCGCTACGCGAAGTATCAGTCTGTTGTCGAAACTTGTAATGATTTGACCTTTTACAATACATTGTGGGTATTTATATTTCTATAATATTATTATAAATTATTTAACAATTATTTTTTTATTTTTGACATTATTTTTATTAATATGTGTTATTGAATTATTTATTGAATATTATTATAATTTTAATTGAAGATAATTTTTTAAGGAATAATTTATTCTTATTTTTTATTCTTTTAATTGATCATAATGTTACAACATATTACGAGCTTTTGAAATAGAATTTGAATTAAGTTATTGTTTTATTTTATTTTATTTTAATCTTATGCAATATTAGTTAATTGTTATGTTAAATTTTTTTTTATTTTTTTTTCTAATTCAATTAATTCACTTCACTTCTATATAAATATATAAATAATATAATACAAATAAATCACTTCTAATTCATGTTATTACACATTATGTTAAATTTTTTTTTAGATTTAGATTTGTTTTAATTTTGAGATTAAATCCTTCTCTTATTTTTTATTCCTTTTTTATCCTATAATAGTTTTTAACTTTTATGTTATATTCTTTTTTTATGTTTGTACATTTATTTATCATTTACATATTATAATATTAAATTCTTTTATATATTAAAACAGATAAAAAAAAATTTAATATTATTATATATAAATAATGAATAAAACATGATTGAGAAAATATAATATAGAAGTCAGCTATTTCAAAATAAAAACAAATTGGAAGATAATAATAGAATTTATATAATATCAAAGTTAAAAAAATCTAAAACAACTAAAATAAAAATAAAAAAAAATTTAACAGAAATATTACTTAAATAAAAAAACACATTTAAACAAAATAATTTAATTTACCAAATTTATAATATTAAATTTTTCTTTTTCCAATTTAACACTTATATTAAATTCTTTTTTGATGTTTTGTAACTTTAAAATTAAATTCTTTTTCAATGTTTCAATTCTTTTTTACTTTATAGTAATTAATTTTTATATTATATTCTCTTTTTATATTTGTATTGTATTTATTCATTATTTATATATTATAACATTAAATTCTTTTATATGTTACAAAATATAAGAAAAGAATTTAACATTCAAATAATGAATAAAACATTAAAAAAAGATATAATATAAAAATCATTATTAAGTAAAAGAAATTGAAACATAGAAGAAAAATTTAATCTTAAAATTAAAATAATTTAAAAGAATTAAAACATAAAAAAGGAATTACAATAATACAAATATATTATCTAAATCAAGATAATACATAAACATTTAAACAAAACAATTAAATTTATCAGATTTACAATATTCAATTCTTTTTTTATATGTTGCAGTTTTGTTAAATTTATTACATTATTATGTTAAATTTCTTGTTTATTTTTTTTTCTAATTCAATTAATGTTAAATTCTTATGTTAAATTCTTTTTTAATGTTTTAGTTCTTTTAAATTAATTAATTTCTTCTTTTATATTTCAATTTTTTTAATTCTATAATAGTTAATTTTTATATTAACTTTTAATTATATTTCCTTTTCATTTCCTGTTTCATTTATTATTTATATATAACAATTAAAATTTTTTTTTTATATGTTGCTTTGTTTGATTTAATTATTTTTGTTATGTAAAATTTTTTCCTTATATTTTTATTCTTTTTAATTTAATCAATGAATCTTTATAATTTTTTTAATTAACATTTATTTTAAATTCTTTTTTGATGATTCAAATTTTTTTTCTAATTTTGAGATTAAATTCTTTTTGTATGTTTCATATCCTTTCTCATTGTATAATAGTTTAACATTTATCTTACATTCTCTTTTTATGCTTTACTAATTATTTATGTATTACAACATTAAATTCTTTTCTTATATATAGTAGCTTTGTTAGATTTACATAATTGTTATGTTGCAACATGTAAAAAAATTTATTATTATAACATATAAATAATGAATAAATATACAAACATAAGAAGGCAATATAACATAAAAATTCACTACTATAAAACAATAAAAGATTGAAAGAAGAAGAATTTAATCTCAAAGTTAATAAAATCTAAAAAAAACTAAAACATAAAAACAAATATTTAATAGAAATATTACTTAAATTTAAGTAATATAAAAATGTTTAAACAAAACAAATGTGGCAATTAAATATAGCAAAATTTACAATATTAAATTCTTTTCTTATATGCAGGTTATATTTAGTTAAATGTTATGTTAAATTTCTTTTTTGTTTTTCTTTTTTTCTAATTCAATTAATACTTATATTGAATTTTTTTTTGATTTTTTTTTTTTAGCTTTTTTAGATTTTTAACTTCAAAATTTCAAATTAAATTCTTTTCCAATGTTTCAATCCTTTTTCACTTTATAATAATTAATTTTTATATTATATTCTCTTCTTATGTTTCTATTGTATTTATTCATTATTTATATATTATAACATTAAATTCTCTTATATATTGTAACATATAAGAAAAGAATTTAATATTGTAATACATAAATAATGAATAAAACATAAATATACATAGAGAATATAATATAGAATTTATTTATTTTAAAATAAAAAAAATTGAAATATAATAAAAGAATTTAATTAATCTCAAAGTTAAAATAATCTAAAAGAACTAAAATAAAAATAGAAAAAAAAAAGAATTTAACATTTAAAGAAATATTATTTAAATCAAGAAAAACATTTAAACAAGGTAATTAAATTTAGCAAATTTACAATAATTTTACAATAATTTACAAAATTTTTTTTTATATATGTTTTTTCTAATTCAATTAACACTTATGTTAAATTCTTTTTTGTTTTAGATTTAGATTTTTTTTAACTTTTAATCTAATTCATTAATTAGATTAAATTCTTCTCTTATGTTTTAATCTTTTTCTATTTTATAGTAGTTAATTTTTATTTTATTTCCATTTTTTATGTTTTATTTATTATTTATGTATTGCAATGTTAATTTTTTTTGTATACATATTTTTTTCAATTCAATTAATATATGTTTTAATTTCTATTCATATTCTTTAAATTTTTTAAATTTGTTTAACTTTTATAT